AGGCCTCCCCACCTTGCGGCAGGGAGGTGTGTGCCTAAAATTAACGTTTAATCGCCTGCGCTTTAGGTGCGCTAGGGTGAGTACCTAGATGTCGCCTAATGCAACAAGCACACAGATAAAAATTACAATGCCGCCTCTGAGACGAGAAATGTGTGTAGAATTCTACTGACGGACAGGAACCTGCCTACGAGCACAACACTACACTAACACTATCCGCTCGGAAGTCGGGCAAAGTTTCTTCGTTCTTCTGTAACGTTTCTTCTTTCTTCTATAACTTTTCTTCTATCTTCTTGCTTGAGACTTCCCTAACCGTAGACCGCGAAACACGACAACGATGAGGCAAGCAGTGCACACCAGTAGATAAAAGAAATAAAATTGCAACAACGGTTGCGAGATGGCTTCCGGGTCGGCTGGCATGGGCCCTCCGGCTCAGAGTTACGTCCGTTCCGTGTGGAAGCACGAAGCGGAATGTAAAATAGTGAAATCTAGACCGCCTACCATCAAGGTGGTGTCGATGTTAATTGGCGGTTTGACGAGTTGTGCGATATTGAAATTCGGCAGCAGGTATAAAATTCGAACAACTCCTCAGACCACTCTTCGTGATGAATCCGATAGAAAATGTAAAGCGATGTTGGGTTGTTCAGACCAAGAGATTTGGGCTTTCTGCAACCTTGTTTTGGTCGTTTAACGTTTTGCATAGGGACCAAAACGTTAAACGTTTTGGTCCCTATGCAATAATTATAAGTAAATAAAGGTTTGAGTACTTCAGTCATTGTATGTCCATGAGAATGCGATGTGTACACATAAAACTCGTACATAGTACTCGTACATCTATAAACTATTTAAAATAACCTATTTATTTCCAAACAAATTTATTTAAAATGCTACTGGCTCATAGTGGATTTTTTTAATTATAGAAATTAATAACTTTCAATACATAGCTAAAACATTGCTTTAAACAGTTTTCAAAGAATAGCTGTAATTTTGTACTGCTACATCCAAGTGCCTTCAAGTATCTCCAATGTAAGATTATCATAGATTTGGTCGGAGGCAAAGAACAAGCACTGGGGTCCTACACAGTTGATGAACAGTAATATATTGAACTTTTAGTACGATTAATTAGTACTAGGTTCACCCTCAATGACGGATTTCTTCGTGCGCAATTGACATAAATATTTGATGGCAAAGCCACTCATCATGTATATGCTTGGCAATCCAGTATGCATGGCGCGGTCACGCCTTGGATGCACAAATGCCTGTGGTATTTGCACATGCTAGATTTTCACAATAGCACGGTAACCTAACATTGTCGTGGGCTCCAAACCGAGTGCGAGCCGATAAAGTTCTACACAGTCCAAAAGACTGAAAGCGCAAACAAGGTTCAGTAAAGAAAATTTATAACTAATTTATAACGTTTACATTCAACAACAGATTAATAATACACCGGAATTAATGAGCATGGTATGACTGGAGTCTATACTCGAGCATGAGACTGTAGGCTGACGCTGTCTACATTTCACATAATGAAAAGGGACTACGGTAGACCATTTAATAATGTGAAATGTAGAGATAGTTGCCAGGTTTGTATGAGTATAAACGAAGATTTCTTTCATCGAAAGCGGGAAGTAAAAAAAACTTATATAATCATTATCTTTTTACCTTAAAAGGTAAAAAAGAAACACTTATAAGACCACACTCTTGTCCGTCTGTCTGTCCGTGTGTCACCACCGATTTTCTCAGGAACGGATGGACCAAAGAAAAATTCCGAAAAATAAAAAAAATTTGAAAATGAAGGAGATGAAAATTAAAGATTTGAATTTTGGTGCTTACAAGTTTTCGCGCAAATCTAAATTTGCCCATATCTTTTTATCGTGTGACTTTGATTTTTATACACCGAATTATAGACTTCAATTTCAATTTGCTAGGTCCACCCGTTCGTGAGAAAATCTGTGGTGATATATTTACCAATATTATTATGGCGGTTTAACGGGTTGGTACCGAACCCTCTGCGTACGAGTTCGACTCGCACTTGACAGATTTTAATTATTTTTTCATTTATTTCAAAAATCGGGAAGTAATAAATTTACATATACAGATGTAGTTGATTTTTAGTCAATATTTTATAAATATTGAAAAATTATCGAGCACGGTGTTAATCAAATGTAGAAGTAGAAATGTAGATGTGGGAGTCGCTATAGCTATAATTGAATATGCCTACTAGCGTCTTAACAAAAGTACTAATTTCTTAATTGCGTATTTACTCGCGTTGTACTAATTTTTTTTTTATTATACCTTTAAAACAATACCGATACACTCCTAAGGTCACCAAGTCGCCACTGCTCGGTGTTTTTTGAAATGATTACTCATCGCGCTATAGGTGTATAGACGAGCAGAATTAAACTCAGTTAACTTTTTTAATGACATAAAACTGCAATCAAAATTTAGCAATTTAAATTTTGTTACAGGATTATGAGCCAGTGGTTTTTTTCACTTACAATCAGGTCCTTAGTCAAGGGCACAACCAGGGGGAGGGGGCGCAGGGGCATAGGGGTCATGTTTGCATAGATAAGTACCTACCTATTGTAAAAGTGCGTGCTTAGATGCGCTTTGCATGCTGCAAAAATTGCACAGTTCTGACTTTATTATTTCCTCCATCTGTTTAAGTGAATTATTAGGTGTGTACTTGTCTTAAATATTTTGTTTCTTATTGTTGGGTTAATGAACATACTATACCTACGTAAATAAATCTATATATATATATAAATGAATCCCTATTTCCCTTGGTCACGCCATCACGCGTGAACGGCTGGACCGATTTCACTTTTTTTTGTTTATTGTGTATACTTAAAAGTCAATTTGAACTTTAATACCATACCATAAAGTTTAAGTGTTAGTGGAGGGGTTCCGGGAAGGCAAAACAAGTGAGTGACTGTGGTAAAATGTCACTTGAAATGTAAACGTCTCTTTGCTGTGCATCACTACATAGTATAAAACAAAGTCGTCCCGCTGTCTGTCTGTCCGTATGTATGCTTAGATCGTTAAAACTACACAACGGATCTTGATGCGTTTTTTTTACATGATAGAGTGATTCAAGAGGAAGGTTCATATGTATAATACATTGCACCCGTGCGAAGCCGGGGAGGGTCGCTAGTAAATAATAAATATACTATATAAATATACCGTTTACATTAAGCCATAGATCCTTAGTTTATTCACTCAAAGTCACAGACAGTCACTGTATCTTAAACTGACAGTTACTGTATCTTTAAGCAGAATACTGCAATCGAACTCAATTGATTTAAAAAAGATGCTATTAACGATACTAGAAATGTTCTACAAAATAAAAGAGAAAATGCGAACGTAATTTATTGATAGCCTTTTGAAGAGGCTTAAGAAGTAGCTGAGCAGCTAGATGTAGAAATGAAATGGCCCATAATAGTCTCAAGACAAATACATAGAGCCAATAACCTAACTGCTCAATCTGCTGAAGAGTATTTCCGTAGAGCTATATACATCCCTCTTCTAGATTCAGTAATAAGTGACCTACAGAACCGTGTCTCATGAAGTACCTAATTTGATTCAACAAAGCAGTTTTCATGCCAGAAAGTGAATACCGTAATCCAGACATTGAAACTGGTGAAACATCAATTGTATTTAATGTTTTTATGCTAAAGAAGTATAACTTCTTACGTGTGTACATAATAAGTACACACATACTTTTTTCAAGTTTTATTTCATAATTTATAATTCATTCTTTTATATCGAAGTGTCACTAAATGAGAATTTATCATAGAATATCAGATGCGCCTTTGGTTGGACATGAAAAATTAAATCATGCAGATTTTTACTATAATAACTTTAACTAAAACGACATTAGGAATGTATAATTATAAACGGAGAAAAGAATTAAAAAATTACAAAATCTTTGAATTTATTGATCAGTACAAAATTTCCGTTCCATTATTTTCCTGAGAATTAATACAGAGAGTGTACGTACCATATTTTTAGGACATATTTGTTAACTAAAATTCATTAATATTACATTTTTGATGTCAAAGAAGTTATGTGATACAATAATAAACAATTAATAATGTTTATGTTTATTATTTTAATTGACTATTAATCGGATAGGTCATCTATGTTAATGTGTGAGACGCAAGGAGATAAATAAATAGAAATGGTTCATGAGTTACATAATTAGTACGCGCTTCCATCACCCTTGGGTAAGAGCTTCAAATTATTAAAGGTTCAATCATTTGTTTATTTATGGAAGAGGAGGCAAATGAGCAAGCGAGTCAAGTTACGAGAGTAAGCGATAAGTGTAAGTGACGAGAGTAAGTGATCACAGTCACGAGAGTGATCACCGCCACTTTCGTAACCGGTGGGTAAATACTGCTGGCGATAACTGGTTCCACCAATGGTCGAGCGTGGTAGAAAATATTAAAAAGTATGGTGGTGGTTTGGAGATTGGCAATATTTGGAGGAGTTTGGATATATCGCGTTATATGGAGGTGAAAGCAATATGCTTTTAATACGTATTTATTTGAGGGGTTTTATCAAGGCAATATCTGAGGAATTGCTCAGATATTGCCTTGATAAAAACGGTACAAAATTCAAAGAGATGCAAACTTTTTGCAACGTGTGGTTGTTGAACATTCGAGCTGCTCTACGTTGGATACCGTCGAACGGAAGATGCCCTAGATGAGAACTTATCACATGTGCGAACGAATGTACGCTTCTCAGAGTTGCAAGCGTTTGCCAGCAGGAAGTATTCTCTTGCTCTGCTGCTTGAACATTGAGCTTTTTAAAAACCAACTAGGCTATTCCTTCGAAATTACTGAAACTGACGTTGCATGTTACTCGGTAAACGTCAACGGCAAATATCTCGAGTGAGTGAGGAGTGTGGTAACAAATGGACTGAGTTTCATCATCCATAATTTATGTTAGACTTTGCCTTTAATATCCAATGTTTCTGTCTAGAATTTCCGGTATCTTTCAAAATGGCCACAAAGAAATTCGCAGGACCGTCCCCTTATACATTTACACCCACATACCCAAAGGTGGATTACTTCTACACAGAGTACGTATACTTTTTATAACTTAACAATAATGTAGTCGAAATATGTATACGAGTACAAGTATGATTGCGATATAGAAAGGCAATGGAAATATTTCTGGTCTCTTACCTGCGTACCTAGAAAAACTATGGTTCATTTGATACAACGACTGATAAATAGAAATTAGTATATTTTATATAATTAGTTTAATTGAGTAAGTCTTAGGTAATTTTTATTATAGGCCATACTTAAAAATGTTTGAGACTTTTTCTTGCATGTGTAATAATTGTCGCCACATATTCACTACATTACTTCTTAGAAATGCTTCTCACGAAACATTAAGAAAGAAAAAATATTTAGTTTATAGTTTATCCCTAATGTAACAGATACCTGGAGAATGTCACTACTAAGCAAAAAGGAAGAGCCTGTGCAGTACCAGTGGTTGGAGCAATTTTTGGCCTGGGCCGGGCTGGTTCCATTCATCTTACTAGTATTATGAACAATCATCGTATTATTCTGAAATATATCGTGGATGATCGCAGTGACATGTTTGAAAATATTAGAAAGTACTGGAAACTGAGTAAAGATGTCATCTTCCTTACTTCAAAGGAAAGCGAAAAAGTCTACAAAGACAAAAGGTACAAATTCAATTTTTATTCCTAAAGATTGGATAACTTAAAAATGTAAGTATAGTTATAGTAAGTAAAATGAAAGTAACAGCTTTTATACGTTCCACTGCTGGGCTCACCACGCGACCCCATTGTCGATTGGCGGACTTCACATATTATCTTAGAAATATTTTTTTTATTATTTTGAGGCAGGTTTCGTCACGATGTCATCTTTCACTGCTGAGCACGTGATAAGTCTGTACTTAAAATAAATAATTTCATTAATGATAGAACTCGGGTTGATCGAGTATATTGAATTAAAAGCGAGCGCCCGGACAATGAGCTATCACGGTTATGCAATTATGTACTAAACATATGTTTTTTTTTTTTCATTTTTACAGTGTCAATGTCGTTTTCATCGGATCTCCCACGTACACTCATCATGACATAGTTATCTCCTCAATTGCCAACGACAAAGATGTGTTCTGTGAAAAACCTATTGCGGAGTCCATTGAAGATACCAAAAAGTGTTACGAGGCTGCTAAGAGCAAGGGACGTAAATTGTTTGCAGCCTTCAATCGTCGTTTTGACCCTGACTACAGAAGCTTGAAAGACAAGGTCAGACAAGGAACTGTTGGACATGTGCAGATCCTTAAAGTTACTGCTAGAGATTCCCCATTACCATCTATTGACTACTTGAGAACTTCAGGTGATTTGTGATTTTATGAACCTTATATACGTGAAGCAAAAACTTTGGACGGCATTTTAAGAACTCTGTCTACACGAAGAAGTGTGAGATTTGGCATTCTTAAGGTTTGAAGACAAAATGCAGGAGGTTCAAATTTGCATACAATATATTTTATAAATGCAAAAAATAAAATAAAATTTTATTTTTATGTTTACATTGTCAAACTGTAATACATAATTATCTATCGTAGTATCGCATTATCTGAATGAGTCTGAGGAAAATAATTATACATCAAATTAAACATATATATATATACAGGCGAATTGGGATCATCGTGTGATATATAATTAATGCTAAATTATTACTATAAAGTTACTAGAGAAATGAAAATATTTGTTTAAACCTGAGCTGGTATGGGATAAAATGGATGAAAAGTATATTGAGTGAATCAATATCATGGCTATAACAACTTATTGGTAGGTGCTGGCCTTCTTTGTAAATGGGGTGTACAACATTGAAATATGAAGCGAAAAATTAAAAATATCGCTTTAAAAGACGTACTGTCTGAACAAGAAATTGTAATTTTGTTGGTACGTTTTCGACTTTTTTCAGGTGGCGTATTTCACGATTGCCTCGTGCATGATTTCGATATGTCATGCTGGGTATTGGGCGAACTGCCTATTCGTGTGCAAGCTACTGCCTCTGCTCTCATCCCTGAGGTTAAAGCTATTAATGACTTCGACACAATTGCTTTCCTCCTGACCTTCCCTTCAGGTGCAATAGCTATTGGTGATAACAGCCGTTACAGTGCTTATGGATATGATCAAAGGCTTGAGGTATTCGGAAATAATGGTATGTTATATCGTTAATTTTATCACTGATTTAAAAAATAGAATTCAAAAAATTAAATCATGTTTTTCAATCTTGAATAAAAATATAATAAAATAAAAATAAAAATAAAAATAAAAATTGAATCATGTTTTTCAATCTTGTAGGTATGCTGAAGGTAGAAAATGAGAGGCCCTGCTCTTCACTTGAGAGTTACCTTGGCTATGAAGGTGTTAAGGTCAACCCTATATTTTACTCATTCCCATCTCGTTTTAAGGCTGCTTATAAAAACGAACTTGAACATTTCCTTGATGTTGTGCAGTGTAAGTTGATCAGATACATTGTTATGAATAATAAAAATTTTAAATGAATGTTAGAAACAATAATCGCCTAGCCAAATATAAAAGGTATGTTTAATTTTGTCACAGACGGTGACCCTATGGAAGTGACCAGCTGGCAGACTCTAGCAGTGAGCAAAATTGCTACCGCTGCCGAAGAAAGTGCGCGTACTGGAAAAGGCGTAGAAATCGACTGGAGCAAAGGTGATATCCCCGCCATTTACTCATAAAACTGAAAAAGCTATAAACATAACATAAAACCTTAACTATTCTTAATAATTGTTTTGCTGCATCTAACAATAAAAACAGCACATTTTAATGTTTAGTTCATAAGTGATGGATATTTATTTATAGTTGATTTAAACATTTGTAGAAAAATAGGGGAAAGGATATTGAGTCACTGCGAGGATTTGAATCTTCGTCCTCCAGAGATATGCACCCGACGTCCTGACCACTGAGCTAAACGACTTATCTTCAAACCGACGGTAATCGACAATTATTTTTATCTACTTTGATTTTTAATACACATTGTTATTTGTGATGAAAAATCGATCCTGTACGACAATCGGAAACGGTTATGGTGATGCTGGTCCACCTGTTAGTAATATACACTACAGGTTCTTACGATCTGTCCAGAAGATTTGTTTATTAATACAATTGCAAACCATGATGGAAAAAATTCGTTATTCAACAATCGTGACTGGTCAATTACTCTAACCGTGCTTAGAGCCGTGATAGCTCAGTGTCCGGGCAATGAAGTTTTTAACTTTAAGTGCTGACTTATCACGTACTCCGCGGTAAAGGAAAACATCGTGAGGAAACCTGCATATTTTCGAAATAATAACAAAAAATATATATTTTTCGAAGATATGTGAAGTCAGCCAATCCGCAGTGGGGCCGCGTGGTGGACTATGCCCTGATACCCTCTGTATAGAAGAGGCCTTTCCCCAGCAGTGGGACATATATAGACTGTTACTTTACTTTACTACAATTACTCTAGCCCACTGCTGCCTCTACGCTTCTTACGCTATAGAAGTTTAACTTTTTACGTGCGTATATAAGTAAACACACATATTCATTTTCTCGGCTTCAACTGGTTCTCCACAATGTGTCGCTTTTTCAACGTTGAATTGCTGCAAAGAAATTTTAAAATCTCTACATAGTAAAACATTGCTATATGTTATGTTTGTATGTATGCTATGTTTTCTACCTTTGGTAAGGCACCAAACAAATACTATTCACATACACACACGCACAGAATCAAACAATTTTTTTAATAAACAAGTCTATATCAGCATTCAAAATATATTATAACGATGCGGTTTTGTATCAAATAGGCTGTGAAAAAAACCAATAAAACCCTCTGTTGGGAAAAAACAAAATTCCGAACAACCTACTAGTTGATGGTAATGTAAATGTGTGTTGGTTCATCGTATTTATCGTGGGATAAACATGTATTGATAATAAATGCTGGTGGTAGAGAAAATATGTGGCTTATCGACATTCTGTAACCGAACTAACTCATTTTAATAAATTTTGCACTTCAACAGATTAGAGCGTAGCGAAAGTATTCAGTTCATAATATAAATTAACAAAGACAAAATAATAATATAAAAGAGGAGTGTCTGATTCTTATGAGTGTTTTGGCCCAGAGTGAATAGTCACTTAAAATAAAAATGATGAATAGAATTATTAGTTTTAACCAGTAGGAGGTAGACAAATATTAATTTTTATAGGTGTTTATTAAGATAACTTAAGGGAAAGATTTTTAAAATGAAACAATATTGTTTTAATGCGAGAATAATAAAAAATATTGGATTGAATTAAACATTTAATTTTAAATTTACAATATGCGTATGTATGTGTAATTATGGTAGATAATACATCTAATTTTCTAGGAAATACAGCCCCTTTTTTAATTTTCCGCCGTCCGCTTTTTTAAAGACATTTGTCTTTTTAACCGTGCTCAACAAATACATGTCCTTAAATTTGGTTTCTATCAATATTCATGTCCTTCTTGTATCTTGTATCTTGTATTAACTGATGTTTTTGCTTTCAGTCCCGAGACTATTAAAGCTTCATCGGACGCAGAACCGGTGGGCTAGCCAGAACCCACGGGTTTGGACCCTCCGCTATGGGTAGGGTCGCGCATGTGCTCATGCGTGCGTTTAACTACTATGGTGTGTCATCTAAGGGCCGTCGAGGTCGCCGGTTCGGACCGAGACCCCGACGGCCGTCGACTGTGCATTTAGCTAATCGGTGGCTGGGAGCGGTGAGAACCGCCCCGGAACGCGGGTGTACCTTGTGTACGCGTTGTGTGGGTCTCGCCGTGCTCGGAGGCGAGGGCGAACTGGTGTGATTGTTGTTACACTAACTGTGGGTGTAGTGTTATCCGGCGGGACCCCCGGCGGTGGGTCCATCGTGTCTAAGTCCTCTTCGTCGACCGGGTCGATGAGGACGTTTCGCGGGCGACGCTTGTTAACGTTCGCGTTAGTGTCCGGTAGGTAGTTTGCTGCGCTTACCACCAGAGGGTTGGGATGATGCTGGGCTCTATCGAAGAACCGTTTTGTCAAATCTTTAAAATGAGCGCGAATCGTCGGGAGTCTGCAATCGCTGTGCAGGTCGACGTTGCGCTGATACCATTGCGCACCGGTTGCGCGGCGGATAAACTTACTTTGAACTACTTGCAATTCGTCAATGCGCGTAGGATTTATGTGTGCGAAGATCATGCATGCGTAGGACATGATTGGCCTTACGCAAGCTTTATATAACAATAATTTGTGCCTTAAGGGCATTTTACTATGTTTTATTCGTTAAATTGTGTAGCCGGCCGGAGACGAACGCGGCTTTGTTTCGGACTTGATTGATGTGCGTAGTGAAAGTCATACGCGAGTCGAAAGTGACTCCTAGATATTTGACCGTTTTCTCCCAGGGGAGAGTTTGGCCGTATAGTGATATTTGCCCCAACTTTCTGTACTGGCGAGGACCTTTGTAACGGTGTGGCGGATGGGGGTTGGGGGTGCTACGGGTGAAGTGAATCGCCACACTTTTTTCTGGGTTGATATCGATTCTCCATTTGCGGAACCAATCGCCGAGGCGGTCGGCGGCGCTTTGGAGTCGAGTCGTTAATTGGCTGAGGTTGCTGATCTGAGTAAAAGAGCGCAGTGTCATCCGCGAAAAGCGCGAGATTGACGTGGGGGTCTCTGGGTATGTCGCTCGTGTAGAGCGTAAATAACAAGGGTGAGAGGCAGGAGCCTTGTGGTACGCCGGCCGTGAGGCGGCGGCTTGTGGAGAGGGTGCCCTCGACTCGATATCGAAAAGAGCGGTTCAACAAAAAGGCCCGGATGGTGTGTACGAGCCTATCTGGCACTTTGAGTGTGTACAGCTTGTAAAGCAAGCCGTTGTGCCAGACCTTGTCGAATGCCTTTGCGACATCGAAGAAAAGAGCCCCTGTACTGATATGTTTCGGGTGGTTTAGGCCTTTTAGGATGTGCTCCGTTAGGCGGTATAACTGATCTGGACAAGAGTGTCTAGCTCGAAAGCCGAATTGTTCCGTCGGCAGAAGGCCGTTGGAAAATACGTGCTCTTTGAGCCTGTTTAGCAATAGCCGCTCGTAGAGCTTCCCCAGACAACTGAGGAGGCTGATGGGACGATAGCTAGAGGGCTTATTGGCTGGTTTATTCGGCTTGCGAATGCCGATAACCGTGGCTTGCTTCCAGTCGTCCGGAAAGGAGCAACTTATTCATGTCCTTACAATCCTGACTTGATTTTATCGGCGAGTACTGGACCCTTAGGAAATCTAGAAAAATAACTAATATTAATGTTACAGTTAAAACCCATTTTATTTTTTAAGGACTACTGTATTTTTATCTTTTTGTTACCAAATATAAAATTAACTTATACATAAAGGAATTTTTCACCTGCAACTCCAGGCGTTGCAAAAGAGCTGTTGCATCCGCAAGGCCTCAGTACATTGGAAATATTGGCGAAAGATTGGCTATCCTTCCTTCGGGAATGTATGCATTTCAGTATCTCGCCAAGGCTGTTCAAAATAATTTTTGTATAACATCTTTCTTACCCATCCCCACACGGAGAGATGAGTCGCTAATACACTGTACAAAAGAGAAAGCCAATCTTTTGGTAACTCATCTTTCGTCCGATTCGATATTGCATGATGAAGAGAACACATCGCGGAACATCCTGCGGTGTGCGCTCACAATACCAATAACTAGGTTTTATACAGAGTTTAGTGCGTAAAGCACCTTTCTCCCGAGATAAAAAAAAAATGGGCAGTTCAGCATTTTCAATCGGAATCAGAATTTTTGATCCGTAACGTTTTTTGTTGAAGTAATTTATTTTTATCATTCATTTAACAAACGATGCTTTGCTAAAATTAACAATCTGCTATTCGAACCAAATGGTGCCAAAGATTTATAACTGCGTCACTTTACAAATAGCTTTTTATAAGTAGTTTATATTTATTTTAGCATGTTACAAATAATTTTATCTATATACTTACTATATGGACAAAGTCAATAGGTTATGGTCGGTATATAAGTGATAATTATTCGACCTGAAAACTTCTGCTAAGTAAAATAATTAATTTTGTGCATTATTGATAGAATAAATAGGAAATATTAGTTATGTTAAATCACAGATATCGATATTTGCAAGACGTGAGAATATCGACAGAGTCTAGAGTGGTTCGAATTTCGCAGTGCTGAAAATGTATCGATAATTTCTGAACAAAAATATTCATATTTGAAATAAACATTATTTTTAAGTAACTACAAAATTAATCACGTGTTATCTTCTTATTAATATAGAAGCGACTCATATGTAAATTGTCTAAATTTAAAAGTGTGTGCCTACTGCTTACTAATTAAGTTTATTATAAAAACACTTTGTTGACTACACTTGTTTTTAAATATTATGTAGAATATAACTATGTTATTGAACTGTACTTTAAAGTAGAGTAATAACTAAAGATGACTTATGTAGCATTGGTGAGGACTTGAACGTTGGAAATAAAATTATCTTGGATTTAGAATACCACCATAGACTAAAAAAGTGTGGACTTTGAGAAAGTTTTTTTCGGTTCCATAATCAATACCCACTATTACATGAGGAAATTGTAGAAGAAAATCATTTTCCTTAGTTTATTTCACGACCGTGTAGTCTGTCTTACCTTGACCAAATAAATAACCTTCAGAACATATTCTGAAATTCCTGCATTAATACAGTAATGCTTATAGGCATTAGGGAAGCTTAACCCCACTTGTCCCTGTAGATAGATTGACATAGGTTGATGAAGATGATGATAAGATCCCTGCCTCATATGGCTTTTTTGGCTAGCTTGCTTGCTTAATGAAATAATG